CGTGCGGGTGAGGTGGGGGTGTGGGAGATCGATAAGAGGTGGGAGGGAGGATGAAAAAAAAAACCGGACGAAAATGGTGGAACAAAAATAAAACCCGAAACGCAGCCTACCAACTGAGACATTAGAAATAGAGATCTAGCAAATCACCAACAAGTGCAGGACGGCCCAAACCGTTCAGCACGGTGATACTCGATGGCTAGGGAGTACGATTGATTGCTAATTGAATACTAGGAATCAAGCTAGTTGTGCAGTACTCCATGTGCATGCACGTCTATTGACTGTCAACTCAAAGCTCCTAAGCATGTGTACACTTCCGTATGTATACGTCATGAAAAGGAGATAAAATCTTGTTAGTATAGAATAGTAATTCCCCAAACCATGTTGCTGCGACTAGTGAAATCAAGAGTTGCATGTTCCAGGGTCAACTTGCTGGCTAACTGAAAATCAGGAGACTGGCGCATGTTACACTTGCTGTTTTCTCCATGTAGACACAACGGCTCCTTGTCCCCTCGTGTGGATATATTTATTTGGATAACAGAACAAGTATATGATAGACTACGCGAAGAGGTTCTTCATGTTTTCATTATTTATGAATGAATTATTTCTCCGGTCTAATAGAAAAAAGCAATCTGAACCTACGCGCATGCATGTGCACCCACTGTTCTCAATCATACAAAGCAATAGGTATAGTGAACTGTTTCATCAAACTATTATTGGCTCTCCTCACTTGGAGGTAGAAAGCATCATAAAATGTCTAAAGCAAAATTTCTCTAAATTCGGCTATTCATGTGTTTATCGATGAAGTGATAATACGCCATTAGACTTGTCATGAGAAATTCTCCCATGGCTGCTGGTGGTTTACCCGCTGAGGAGGAGCAGCAAATTGCGGACAACCACAACTTTAAGTTGTCCCTTTTCTATATCCACATATCTGGGATGTCGATCTGCGACACTAAGATTCTGATCCGAGACTTTGACCCGCTAATAGAGCGGGTCAAGGCAAAGGCAGAGACGTGGCACAAGAGGTTCACATCCAAGGGCAGCAAGACACTGCTCATTAACTCTGGCCTCTTTAGCCTACTCATATATATGATGGGGCTATATATCCTTCGGGAGGGAGTGCATAGGTGATAGAGAGGGTACCCTCTTTTGGCTCAACCCGTGGCTTGGTAAAGAACTCATTGGGTGCTGAATTCCCGACCCTTTTATTTGCTCGGATCCAATGCTTTTGGTAGCCTCGAAGACGGCCCATAATGGAAATTGGAAAGTTCCATTTTGATGAAAATCTAGTCCCGACAAAACTTTAGCATGTACCGAGTTGCGGAAGGTCCTCCCGTATTCATTGTCGGTGTTTCCAAACATCATGTCATGGCACCTGGCCTCCTCATGATTTTTTTGTGTCGGGTTGGCCTACTGTGCGCTCTACCATGCACCGATCCTTTCTTGGACCACCCACCTCTGAAATGCTCTAGCTACCTTTGAAGATAAAACTCCACTTGCAGTGGCGGAGCTTGACAAGAATCTATAGGGGGGCCAAAAAAATGAACCAAGTTCAACAAACCATAACTTGTAGCCTCCACGAAAATTTATACTTGTATTACCCATATTGATCGCAAAATACATGTATGATTAGCAATATTTATGCTCATAACAGAACTAAGCACACCAAAGTATACAAGTTGCCGCTCGGCCTTCAAACTTGAAAGATGTTCTATGAGACAACTAACACCTACAAAAGGGGTGGTACTACAAATCACCTTTCCTATCCCTGATGCTCTTGAGTTCCGTCAAAATATCCTCAATTAGGTCAAATGAATAGGCATGCTAATTGCTAAATTACTAGTCAAACTCATACAAGATATACCAAAATTTAGTGTTGCCCCCAATTTATCGTACAAGCAACATTGCAAAAGGGGATCCAGTAGTTTAGGATTTAATTGAGCTGGGTAGATGGCACTTGGAAAATCAAGTAGACCAAATTCGCATGGGGGACGGCCTGCGACGAGGGGTGGCGTGCCGGCCGGCGACGACCACCGGCCAATTGGGAAGAGCCAAAGATGACCGTGTCAGGTGTGCCCTTGTTCCTCCCCCACGACCTCTTTGGTGCACGCAGATCAAAGGCGATCTTCTACTCGGCATGGGCGTCATGGCAGTGTGGCTGCTTGGTTCATGGATGGAGCAGGCCAGCAGGCGACGGAGGAAAGCAGCCGTGCCCGAGCGGTGAGCGTGGTTGGGGAAAAGAGGGTGAAGCAGCCAAGCTCCAAGCAGGTTCGGGCACAGGCGTCTCAAATGG